CTAGAAAATTTGCTACTTTTTTCCCCTTCATTTTCTCTGTCTTATCAATCAGTGTTCACAACACACCTTCCTTTGAATTATCCACACCTTGTTTCTTACTTTTCCATATTTTGGTTTGAATTTTTCTAGGCTATTCAAGGAGGGTTGGTTTTGCTTTTTTCTTTTTCAATTAAGGGAAAATGAGAAAAGTAGGAAAGAAATGAAAATATTCCATTTGATCTACCTGATATTATTTGTATCTAGTGCTCTAAATCAATTAATTGCTTTGTCTTACTACAAAGCACGATCACTTTAATTTGGCAAACAAATGGATACTCAGTTTCACACTAGGAAGTACGGATACTTTAGCTTGGGTAGCATGTTCGTGTAGGATACTTATTGGACACGTCTCAAACATTTAGACATTTGTTAATTCAATAGATATGTATCATATACTAGTTGTAAAAGTGAATATAGATCCGACACTTGTTAGACACGTATTGAACACTTGTTAAACATTAGAAATAAATAGGAATACATGACAAAATAATAAATTTTGAGAGAAAAATACATCAAACTCATTTTAAGTATAAAGATGTATAAAACTGGCTTTGATTTCCTTGTATCAAAATTATGTAAAGTTTAAAAAATGTTATATTTTAATAAATGTGTCTTTGTCATATCCATGTCCTAGATATTTTGTCATATTAGATCTGTGTCTCGTGGCGGTATTCATACTTTTTAGCTCACACATTAGACACTTCAAACTTTGATGCTTATTAAATATATGTGCCAAGCATTCATAGTATACAACAGATACCTCATAAGTGACACAATAATGCACAATTACATTTTTAGTATCAAAATCTATGAAATGAATTCAAACTCTATATTCTACCAATTATATTAAATTGAGAATCAATTTTTCGACCCTTAGAGTTATTGGAACATTAACTAGTTGAACTATGCTCAAATTGGCTTTTGGTACACGCGAAAATCTAACTTTTTCTTTTTCTGATTAGACATTAAACGAAACAAACCGAATCTAAACAAAGAAAATCAAAATTCTCACGGTGATTTGTAAACTTCTTTGTTATTCCATCCAGAAAGAAGATGTAGTTACATTGGAACATAAATTAAAGCAGCTTCAACAAGGCAAAAACTTTCTTCATTCTCAAGATAATAACAAAAAGTAGATTTGATTGTTTTGTTGTGGAAGGATGGGGAAGTGGTAAAGGCAACACAACTTAGTCAATACAGAAACAGTGATGTTGAAATTGTAAAGCCATGGGAAGGGGAAGGGGAAGGGGAAGGGAAAGGGGGGCCTCAAGATTCAAACCGATAAAGCAAAGTGATAGATGCCAAACACTATTAACAGTCGTTGGTGATGGGGCGTGGGACCTTTCTAGAAAGCAAATTCTCTAATCAACAAAGCCTTTATTTTAACATGGGCCTGTTCATCTATCATTCTGACCAATGGGCCGAAACTGGCCAAGCCCATGATCCACATTCCACAGAGTGTATGAACTTGATGATCTAAGCTTATCAAATGTATCATATTACTGGAATACTGTTGTTGTATTGGACAGAAGTCTTGGCCTTTCCAAATATTGATTTCGTTATCTATAATACTAAGCCACAGTAAGAAACTATAGTTTCAAGTTAAGAACCTTACCTAAAGGTTGATAGACTGTGGAGCTGCCTTCATACATGGGAGGTTTAAATTTAGGTGCAGATACTTCCTTCATGGCAGCAACAGCAGCCTTTCTTCTTTGTTTATGCTCTCGCCATTTCCTCAGCTGGTCTTCAACGGCTTCTTTAGCTTTCTCAGCCATCTCAGCTCTAGTGGTAGCCTGTTCGGCTCGCGACCGGAACTCCCCAATTCTTATCATTGCTGCTTCTAGTTCCTTCTTCAACTTTTCCAATTCATCTGTGTACTGAGGACTGGCCAGATGGGAAGAGTTGTCTGCTGAGAGTTCAGGGGTTGGATCAACATTTGTAATCAATGATTGATATTCCTCCAGAGTAATTGTTATGGTGGCAGTCTCATCCCTTCTGTCACTGGCTTCAGCATTCAGATCTTCTTCAATGCCTGGTGAGGTTTTGTCAAGAATGGGGTTCTCATTTTCTTCATAGGCCCAAAATGGTCCTTGTTTTAGCTTTATGTTCTCCTTCTTGACTTCGGCTGCTTCTGCAGCCAAGTCCTGAACAGCAAGATAAAGGCCGGATTTAACGCTCTCGGCTCTTGCTTCAGCAGCCTCTGCTGCTGCAATTTTTGACCTTCCTTCATGAAGTTCAGATTTCAGCAATGCAATTTCAACCTCGGCACCAATTCCTCTTTCTTTCATCTCATCCATTTCAAGTTTCATCTTCTCTAACTGATGTTTAAGTGTTTCTACCCTGTCCTTGAATTTTTCAATTTCTTCATTTGCATTCTTTACTTCTTCTTTCAATTGATTCCTCTCCAGCTTTAGTGACTCAATATAAAGAGCTTGATCAGAAGATTCCCTGTCCATAACTTCAAGATCTGCTTTTATCTGTTCATTGGTTTGCTTTAATGCCGACTCAATCATGTCAATATATAGTGCCTTTGCTTGTAACTGGCTCTCTAAATCACGTACTAATTCTGTTTGTTTGCTCATTTCTTCTAATTGATTTTGCACCTCAACAACTTTTTCCCTAGCCAGCTCGAGGTCAGCATCTTTCGAAGATAATGCAGCAGACATCTCTTTTTTTGCTTCATCAACAGCAAAATTTGACCTACGAATTGCTTCATTCAGTTCTGAGATGTGTCTTATGAGATCTACAGTCTTTTCCTTTTCCAAGTGGGCATTATTTTCCAGTAACTCTATTTTTACAATTCCCTTGAGCTCTGATTCCCTAGAAGCAGCAAGTTCTGTTTCAATGCCAAGAAGCTCCTCTTGTCTGATCTTCAACTCACACATAGCAACCTGAAGCTGCTCTCGAACTTTTCTGGTCTCCAAGGATTGATCAGTCATTTCATTCAACTTATGTTCAAGTTCATTCAACTGCACTCTAGCCTCACTGCATTCTTTGATGTATTTATCTCTATCAGTTTCTGCAATGTTCAGCAACTCAGAAAGTTCGTCAATGGCTTTCTGTTGTTGTTCCAGCTTTAGACGGGCCTGCATGTAAGCCGCATCCTTTGCTTCAAGTTGAACCTTGTAACTGGCCAGATCCCTTACTACCTCTTCAAGCTCTCTTTCCTTCTCATACCCCTACGATAAATAAAATAATAATAATAATAATAATAATGCAGTTGTAGAAGTATTGTTTTACAAAATTAAGATGATAAATGATTACTTAGTGCCCAGAGATTATTTTAGTGAAGCATACTTGCTTACAGACAGACCAACAATTAATTGTTATAAAAATAGACAAATAAATCAGATCAACATAAGTAACCACATGAAAAAAAGAATTAGTAGGAGCTTGAAATAGTACAAATTACCCATATCAATATAAATAAACCATATAAAAAAATTAGTAGGTAAACTTCCACTGGCGTGTAAACAAATATTGTTCTTATTTTATAGTCAAAACCACCTCTTACGAAACAGTGTGTAAAATCGTCTTTCTATGAGATTGCTGAATTCAAAATTATTTTGCAACCAACCACTTTTTAAGGACAATTTTCCCCCTTCAAGAACAACCTTGTGCAAAAAAGACCTACTATCATAACCATAAGAAAAAACATATCATCGATCAAGGAACAAACCAGAGAAAATCTTACATTACTGGCTGTGTGCTTGTGTTTTTTCTGATCACCTATCGCACCAAACAGAGAGATACCGGCTTGTACAGAATCAATAGGCTTCGTATCAATCTCACCCTTTTTCTCCATTTCCAGAACTTACCTGATGAATATCAATTCAACGCCGAGGTTTTAGGAGAATAATTTACAGAAAAACATCAAAACAATGGAAGAACGTTAAACAGTAAACAGCAGGTAGAAACAACCGAAGATTTGGCAAGAAAATTATAGGTCAGACTTTCAACGACGGAGATGAAAGATTACATATATCCTGATTTCCAAACATTTGAATCAATTACAAGGATGAATGGAAGGGAATATAAGTACCTGGAAGTTTGGGAAGGCAAAATGCGAAAGAGAGGAAGTTGAGAAGAAAATACAAGGCAGAAGGAAGAACGATGGTAGATTTGGTAGGAGTGTGCATCTTGTTCTCGGAGAAAATAGTAATCTCCGTTTCGGACTCGGAGGTCCCAAAGCGGTGGTGATCGTCAGAAACGAAGAGCATGAAGATGTTAGGAAGTAATTGGCGGACGAAATTACAGAGCGCCCTTCGCGTTTCTATGTTCTTTCTTCTTGGTGTTTTCGTAATGACAAATTTCAGCTTTATGCACTCTAATTTATTATCTGGGGAAATTGGAATGAAAGTACTGGTTGGAGTATTGATTTTTAGTCACTCGCCTTTTTTTCTTTCCAAATTACTTTACTATCCCTCCCCTCTCTCCTACTTCTTCTCTCTTCCTTTCCCTCCTCTCTCCTACTTTTCACTTTTCTCTCTTCTCTCATTATTATTTCTCTTTCACGAAAACTTTATTCTCTTCTACCTGCAGCCCCCTCCTCTCTCTCTCTTTTTTCTCTTTCTTCTTCTTCTACCCACGCCCTTTTCTCTTTATCCTTCCATATTCTCCACCCCATCTACCCATCGTGATTCATGTCCCTTCATCTACGCCTTCATCACACGCTTCACCAAGATCGACTGTTGCAGAACCTTGCCGCCATCAGTACCATTGTCGGATTCCAGTGCGGACAAGCCGACCGAGAGCGAGAGAGTGAGATCAAGAGCGAGAGAGCACGAGATCGAGAGCGAGAGGTTTTTCTTTGTCTTGTTTTAATTTTGAGGTCCAATAATGGAGTCACAAAGAGGAAGTTGAAGAAATTAAAAAAATCAAGAGGGAGAAGGAGAGATGAAGAATAGCATAAAATTAGGGTAAAGAATAAATGGAAGAGAGAAGAGAAATAAGGATAAAAAATCATAAAAGAGAGGGAGGGGAGAAGATGAAAAAGTGGAAGAGAAAAGAAAATTTTCGGGAAAGAGGGAAATTGAGGAGAGAGAAGGAGTAAGAGAGAGGAGGGGAAGGAGGAGAGAGGGAGTAAGAGAGAGGAGAGGGGTAGAAAAGTAATTTGGTATTAAAAATGTCTAGAAAATCCATGATTAGAAATCAATATCCTATTCTTAAAATGCCTACTCATCCAAATTTCCCAATTTATTTGGACCCATATAGTCTTAGACATACTTTTCAGTATAAAATAAAAGGAAAATAGTCTCTTTTTTTCTTCCCTTTATCCGATAATATGTGTTTAACTCATTTTTGCTACTACAACGTGTTAGGGCGGAAAATCGAACTTTTTAAGGTATAGTTACAAATATGTAAAAACATTTAGTAAAATTAACAAAATAATAACAAGTTTTTTGAAATATTGCTTACCCACACCTCGACTAATCACACAGGACCCTATAACATTTAGTGTAAAAAAACACATAGAAATTACTAATTCCTAAAATAGGTAGCTATCATAAGGTTCGAACTAATTCCTTCTTAATTAACTCTAGCTTATTTGAAGCAATGAGCCACCCATAAGGGATATAGCACTTTTTTTATATACAAAAACGGAAGTCCAATTTTAAAACGACAACTTTACTTAAATTATATACATATGTAATATATTTATACATATGTAATATATTTGGCTACTGATATATATAAATGATACATCTAGTATACTACTGATCTACGTGTCTGATATACTTGTAATACGTATGTAATATACTTATGATACTACTAATATGAATGTCTATGTAACATGCATGTAATATATATTTAATATGTTACTTATACGAATATCTGATATACTATTGAAAATTTTTGTTATATTTGAAAATTTAAAAAACCAGTCATGTAATTTCAAATACATGAATATATATTTATTTTATGGCGTTTAGTATTATTTTCCTTTTAAAAAATCAGTATCTTTTATTTTATAAATAATTACTGATTGACATATATTGATAATTAACCTAGATAATAATCAACTATAATCGTAACAATCTGCGTTTTTTTTTTTAATCGAAGGATCTTAGCAACTACGTTATTGGACAATTTAACAACCAAGGAATCAGCGCGCGTCTTCATTTTTTCCCTCCTCCGTCCCCTGGAAGTCCGATCCGATCCGCCGGACGACGTGAAGATTCTCTAAACTTCTTCTAGTTCGCGTGGCGGACATAGACACGGTGGCGCCGGCAATGAGGACGAACGGCCGAGATTTTTCGACACCAAAGCGAAAGCCATTTGTATTTGTTGGGCAAAGGCCGACACTGCGACCGGTCGCCGCCGGTAATGTCGTCTGCAAGCTTCCTCTGCTTAGACGATCACATTGTCCCTTTCTCCAAAGGTAATTTTATTTCCTTCTCTTCCGCTTCTACTCGATTAATGGTTTCTGATCTTGATTTGAGAAATTTCGCTGCTGCTGTTGCGTCTTCGTTGTGATGTCTGTAAATTTATAGTTTAGCTTTGGCTGTGTTGAACTAGAAATCTGATCGGCAATTGTGTCGCAGGCGGCGAATCAACGGCAGATAATTGCCAGATTCTTCAAACGAGGGTTAACAGATTCAAATCGGATAAAGATAATGTCGATTCATTCTGTTCCTGCCCTAGTTCTTTGTATATTACACTTCATGGTTTAGTTCACCTTTCTGTCCTTTTGTTCTTCCGATTTCTCCCTGTAGAATATAGCATCGATTTCCTTTTCTCCCATCTGCTCCACATATAGAACTGTATAATCTCATCAGCTTTTACGCTATCTATTACAATACATGGTTACTGTACTAACTAATATGATTAGTTAATTAGTTGGTTAGTCAGTTAAATCTCTTGGTCATTATTGGAGTGAAATTTGTACATATATATAGTGATCTGTACTCTTTTGTAAGTTAATGAGAAGTAATACAATTTATTCATATTACATTTCTAATACTATCTTAGGGTCTTGCTCAAATTTTGTAATTTCTAGAAAGTACAAATTCAGTTGTTTGACTAGTCCATTGATTAGCTATGATATTTTCATCTTTTGAGGGTACTTGGTGACATTTTGGGGGGGGAGTGGTCCGGAAACTTCGTTAAATTTTCTCCGGAAAATGCTAGGAAATGAAGTTTCAATCATCTGTTTATGATTCAAGCAAAAGAGTGCTTGTATTTTGGTCACTATCTAGAATATCAAATCTCATGAATTTTTTGACATGAAACGATATAGGGTGAAGAAATTAGTTGCGTGTGGAAGCGGAACATTTGGACGGACTCGGGTATGGATCTTGATCAATACCAGCAAGCATATGGGAAAGTATTTTTCATTCCACAAACAATTTTTTATTAAATTTCTCAGCCATTTCTCCTTCTTTTCGTTTACGCTCGACCAGTTCAAAACTCTTCATCCCATTTCCTTCATTTTTAGCCCCAAAAAAGTTCCCGCTGTTTTCATGGCTTAATTTTAAAATATTCTTAACTTATTCGGAAAAACTCATAATATAAGTATGAAGGACAAAGATGCTGACCGTGATCGCTCATGGCCTATTCTGTTGATTATTTTGTTCACCTTAATCACAGGTAAAAGTCGGTTTCTTCCTCACCTCTTGAGATTTTCTTCAACTGGGTATCTAAAATTTTAAACTTTTTCTTTAGGTACAGTTGTTGAGGGACAAGAATTGCAGAGTGACACAGAAGTTTTATTACAGTTGAAATCTTTTCTGGAAGAACACAATCCCGTTAAACGAGGAAAATATTCGTCCTGGAATTTACAGAGCTCCCCCTGTTCTTGGTCGGGTGTATCCTGCAATCTAATAAATTCCCGAATCACCGGAATTGACCTCTCGAATGAAGACATCTCCGGCAAGATTTTCCACAATTTCTCTGCCTTGTCGGAGCTGACCCACCTAGACCTCTCCAGGAACACTATCTCCGGCCAAATTACCGGCGACTTGAACAACTGCAGAAATCTTCGGCGGCTGAATCTTTCCCACAACATCCTCGACGACAGGTTGAATTTGTATGGGTTGGTCAATATCGAGACTTTGGACCTGTCGGTCAACCGGATTTGGGGAGAAATAACATTGAACTTTCCGGGAATTTGCAGGAATTTGGTGTTCTTTAATGTTTCTGGTAATAATTTTACTGGCCGGCCGGATGACTGTTTCGACGAGTGCCGGAATTTGCAGTATGTGGATTTGAGCTCCAACGGATTTAGCGGCGGGTTGTGGTCTGGGTTGGCGAGGACTCGGGTGTTTTCGGCGTCGGAGAATCAATTTTACGGCGCGGTCTCGCCGGTGATATTTTCAGGGGTTTGTAATTTGGAGGTGTTGGACTTGTCGGACAATGAATTGGACGGCGAAGTTCCGGGGGAGGTTTCTAATTGTGGGAATTTGTCTTCTTTGAATCTGTGGAGGAACAAATTTTCCGGGAAAATTCCGCCGGAAATTGGAAGGATTTCGAGTCTGCAAAATTTGTATCTGGGGAAGAACAATTTTTCTCGGGGAATCCCTGAATCCCTTTTGGATTTGAGCAATTTGGCCTTTCTTGATTTGAGCATGAACGGTTTCCGAGGAGAGATTCAAGAAATTTTTGGGAAATTTACACAGGTGAAATTTCTTGGTCTTCACGGGAATTCCTACACTGGAGGGATTTATTCTTCTGGGATTCTTAAACTGCCGAGACTTGCTCGTTTGGACTTGAGTTACAACAACTTTTCAGGCTCATTGCCTGTAGAAATCTCTGAAATGAAGAGCTTAGAGTTCTTAATTCTTGCCTATAATCAGTTCCATGGAAGCATTCCTTCAGAATACGGGAATTTGCCAAATCTTCAAGCACTTGATCTCTCGTTCAACACCTTAAATGGGTCAATCCCAAGCAGTTTTGGGAACTTGACTTCACTYTTGTGGCTAATGCTGGCAAACAACTCTTTAACAGGTGARATTCCTAARGAGTTGGGGAAYTGTTCTAGCTTGCTGTGGCTTAATCTTGCCAACAATCAGCTATCCGGSCCGATCCCGTCTGAGCTAATGAGCATCGGAAGAAAYGCCAYGRCCACGTTCGAAKCRAATCGACGAAWCRARAAGTTCATYGCCGGGTCGGGGGAGTGCTTGGCAATGAAGAGATGGATCCCRGCAAACTACCCTCCTTTCAGCTTTGTCTACACAATTCTCACAAGGAAGAGTTGTAGAAGCAYTTGGGATAGGCTATTGAAAGGGTATGGACTTTTCCCATTTTGYAGCAAAGTTRGGACTTTGCAAATCTCTGGTTATGTTCAACTAAGTGGGAATCAGTTCARTGGTGAGATACCAAWTGAGATTGGGAAATTGAAGAACTTCAGTATGTTGCATTTAAGTTGTAACAACTTCAGTGGGAAACTCCCTCCAGAGTTGGGTAATCTGCCACTGGTTGTTCTAAATGTATCAGAGAACAGTTTTTCRGGCGAGATCCCGACCGAGATTGGAAAYATCAGGTGTCTGCAGAATCTAGATTTATCATACAACAACTTCTCAGGCATCTTCCCTAGAAGTTTGACCAACTTGAATGAGCTTAACAAGTTCAACATCTCATACAATCCTCTTATAACAGGGGAGGTGATTCCAAGCGGACAATTTTCGACATTCGAGAAGGACTCATACCTCGGAGATTCTCTGTTGCGCCTTCCATCGTTCCTCAACACAACCCCGCCAAAGTCGCGGTGGTACCCCACGATAATGGGAGGAACCTCTAAACCGACTTCGCAGTCGCTGTTGCTTTCCTTTTTTCTTTCTTCCGTTATTTCTTTTCTTTTCTTTTTTATCTTCTCTTTTTCTTTTTTTCTAAAGAGGCTTCCTTGATCCTTATCACTCATCCTTTCTTTTTTGTGTGTTTTTTTTATTATTATTTTGATAAAATTAGATCCCTTATTCTATTTTTTAGAGAACTGGTCATTTGATTGTAGTGTGTGTTGCCCGCACAAAAGAAAAAAAATACGTCTCCTTCACCCACATGTGATATTTCTACCCGACATGGCGTTGATGTGCAAGGACAGCGTTGTCGCAACACGTTATCATTGTTCAATTTATTCCTCGATCTTCAAAGAAGACTGACTTCTCCTACCCTACTCCTCCTTCTCCTTTAGGATAGGATCATCGTCGGTCCTTTCACTAATGGTCTAATGAGATCATCATTTTATAGTCGTTCGCCTACCACAAAAAGCATTTTGATGGAACAGAAGTCGACCTGAGGAAACTAATTGAAGCTGTTGATTCGACAATTGATGAAGAAATTTGAAGAGGTAGAAATGGAAAGGATGCTGACGCACCAGAATAATTGACAATGGTTATGAAGGGAGGAGTACCCCAACTATAGCGTAGAGAATCATGAAGTGGAATTTTTTTAATGGAGACTGGCAGAGAGTAGAACATTTAGGATTTTCAAAAGCACGGAGACTAAAATGAACATCAAACATAAAATGAACGTTTAAGGATTAAAGTAAACGAAAAGTAGGAGTAGTTAAAAGATTTTAGTCCCTGCCTTCCCCATTCTCCAGTCTTGGCTTGCATTTCCCATTCACAGTTGGCTCTCGCGGCAGAGGCAGACCATCGGCGCTACACCAATCGAACAAATTACCTTTGCATTTCACTTGGGGCAGAATTGAAAGACCGAACCGATGTGCATTCCGTCTCATCAGGCCCGGTTGTGGTCCGGCAACTTTCCGGCCCAACCCATTTAGAGTTATTCTAGTGGGCTGGCCGGAGTTGGGGACCGAAGAAGCCACAATTTTTCCCTCTTCGACTTCTTCTGGAAGTCCGATCCGCCGGACGACGTGGGGGTTCCTATGGAAACTACTTCCAGATCGCCGTCGCCAACGCGTTCGCGCGGCGGACATAGACACAGTGGCTCCGGCAATGGGGACGAACGGCCGAGATTTTTCGACACCAAAGCGAAAGCCATTTGTTGGGCCAAGGCCGACATTGTCCCCGGTCGGCACCCCGACCGATGGCGTAAGGACGCCGCGGGTAACGTCGTCTGCAAGCGCTTCTGCAACTGCCAGGGCTGCCTCTGCTTCGAGTACGATCACATTGTCCCCTTCTCCAAAGGTAACTTATTCGAGATATTTCGCTGCTGCTGTTGCGTTTTTGTTAGGGATGTCTGTAAATTTATAGTTTAGGTTTTGCTATGTTGAATTTGAGATCTGATCAGCAATTGTGGGCAGGCGGCGAGTCAACGGCAGAGAATTGCCAGATTCTTCAAACGAGGGTTAACAGATTCAAATCGGATAAAGATGATGTCGATGCATCTCAGTTGAAAGGCTACTCCTGTGATGTCAGGTTTACCGGTATAACTTCATTCTGCTTCTGCCCTAATTCTTTGTATATTACAATTCATGCTCTTCTGTTTACTCGTAACATCTCGAGTGCCTGTTTAGTTCGCTTGTCTGTCCTTTTGTTCTTCCAATTTTTCCCAGTAGAATATAGCATCGATTTCATTTTCTCCCATCTGCTCCATGTATAGAACAATATAATTTCATCAGCTTTTCCGCTATCTTATGGTCTTTAGCTCAATTTTGTACAAATCCAGCTCTTCACGAGCTAATTGATTGGATATTCTATTTTGTTCATCTTTTG